TATGGAAACATGTACAGTAGATGGTTCAAACCATAACAAAGAAATATCTGTTTTGGCTCTTCGAACAAGTGTATAAATGGATCTTTAAGAATGTAAACTGTTTGGAACCCAGCCTAATTTACATACAGATACAGGTATAAAAAATGTAATTCTGATCACCTGTGATGTAATCTGGTATGTAAAGTTTTTACTGAATGCACCTCTCTGGAGTTTTTCTTTTTTTCTGTACTAAAAATATACAATAAATTTTATTGAAGAAAAAATAAAAGTCTGCAATTACACAGAGCTAAGAAAACAAATATTCAAAAAAAAACAGTAGAATAGAATATAAGAAAAATATATAGGTTATATACAGTATATACATTGCTGTCGATACATTTTCACACTCTCATTTATCAGACTTCTTTTGCATTACTAATTATACATTTCCTTTCTATGTGAAACACCTGTAGGTTCAAAGCCAAACTATGGTTGTGTGAGGACCACCCTCTCTCTCTCTGTCTGAACAGGTGGCACCTATTATTGACCTCATGGCAATAAGCAATGCACTATTTGCAAAACTCCGTGATTTTATCACTCTCAGGCTACCCCCTGGATTCCCTGTAAAAATTGGTAAGTGATTGCAGTGACAAGACTGTGAAAAATCAGCCCACACAAGTGATATTTGAGCATAGACAGAGGCATGTTGAGTTACCCATTTGTGTTTTTTTTAGGGCCTACATTCAAGATATTTCCCTGCTTTGAGTGCCAGTTCACAATGGAACGTGCAGTTCCTGTGCTGCTGATTCAAATTTGAATGGGCTGCAAAATGCACTGGAACACAGAAAAGCAGTGCAAGCAATACATTTCAGAATGCACTGTACCAAACCGCATGGTATCACAGTTTTGTTGTTCACAAAACATGCTGCGTTTATGAGATGCACTTGGGGTGCCATCACCATTTCATTGGCACCCGCAAGCTCTTGCAGTGGTAGTGTGTTCACCTGCAGTGTGGGAGACGCACACAGAATGCACCTTTCCCACATTGCATTTTGGTCTAAAGCAACCCTAAGACCTGTTTCCCACAGGAGTAAAAAATGCTGTGTTTTTTACTGATCTGAAATTAGATGCATTGTTATCTATGGGGCATTGCACACAGCTGAAAGAGTAAAGATCAGTAATGCAGCACTGAGTACAGAGCAATAAAACAAAAACATAGAACATTTTTCATTTGAGTGCAGTAATTTACTCGCGTGTTTGCTTGTTTAACCTTGGAGCCGGAGCCTCCTGGCCCTTTAAGGGTGTCAGAAGCCAGGAGGCGGGGTTTTAAAGTCATGTGACCGCCGTGATTCGCCATCATGGCGGTCACATGATCGGGTAAGGTCCCGATCGAAAGAGGAGATCAGGACCTTTCTGTGAGTTCCGGACATGTGTGCTGAGATCGTATGATTACTAATAAAATTCATCTTAAATACTACACTATGGGTATTCCACTTCTGGCTCTTTGGTGAGCTTTTTAATCCCCCAGTGCTCCCCCTGGTGACCATCCCTGGTTTATGAAGGGGCTGTGTATACATCCTTAAAGTGGACCCCCGGATGTAAAGACACCCTGATGTTATCTACCTATCCTACGCTGTACCACCTTAAGAGGGATTCCGGGCAGACCTCCGTTTGATTAAATACATTGCACATTTCCCTTGTGCATCTGGTGAGTGCGCATTATATCTACTTGTTTCCACCCACCATTTTGTTTGATGACTGATATACCACCGGGATTACACCTTGGGGCCCACTCATGATCCTTGAATTTGAATTTATTTATGGACTTTTATTTTAATATTTCATATTTTAAGAATTATACTATGAAGATCATTTATGGTTTTCACTTGACCCAGACATTCTATTGATTATTTATTTATATTATCTTATTGATTCTATTACAGTAATATAGTTTATTAGCGCTGCACTATCTTATATTAATTGCTCTCAGCACATATGTTTTTCTTAATTGCACGCAAATGTGCGTCCGCTCGGCGTCAAGGCTCAGGCGCCGGGAGAGGCCGCACATTCGCTTGCGGCCAGCGCGAAGAGGTTAAATAGTATACTACAATACTGGCAATGAAGAAGAATTTTACTCGTCTATACACTTACACACCTTTACTCTCCTTTACTCAAGATTACTCAGATCTTTACACACAGTTTTCGTCCCCTTGCACATGGGTGTGACAAGTTCCCGAGTAAACATCGGTAAATTTTGCCGCTCATGTGCAAGGGGCCTAAGAGAAGCATTGTGTTCTTTCTACTGCATTCAGAGGATCCCCCTTATAATTTATGAAGCTTGTGTGAAAAACCTTGCTACTCTGTAACAGAGATAGAAAGGCAGGGAATTTGAAAACCATCTCCATAAAACATGGATATATTCGCTTTACATGACTAGTAACAAGTAAATCTACAAGTTATCACTCAGAAAAGCCAGCAGTGAGCTAAGCCAACCAGAAATCCCCACTTCAGCTTTGCTGTTATGGTTGTTACCAAGGTCAAAATAGAGTATAACATTTCCCGAATGGATTTTTCATAAAGTCAAATAAATAATCCCCTTTGTCTCAACCCTAAACTCCCTGACTGCTCTTGCTCTCTAGCTTAGGGTTGCCACCTCATCCCTTTTAACCCGAATATATATTAATTACACAGGTTCTGTGGCTGACTAAGGTGGTAATTAAACTCCCTTAGTGCCCTATCTGCATTAATTTAGCCTGAGAACCTGTGTAATTATTACCGGTATGAGTTCAGGTTTAAAGGGATGAGGTGGTAACCCTACGTCTAGCTCCCTTGTCTCTTCATCCCATGCTTGTCTCCAGTACTTCATCCATCTTCTGGAATTCCCTCCTTCAATCTGTCCAGCTATCTCTGGCTATCTGTCCGCCTTTGGAGGATCCTTAAAAACTCACCACTTCAGGAAAGCCTATCCTGCCCCAGCCTAACAAATGAACATTTACTTTCGATTGTAAGCTCTCATGAGCATGGCCCTCCTAACCCTCTTGTCTTGATTCATAATATAACTATACTGTCTATCTGTATAATGCAAAGTGCTGTGCAAATAGTTGTCACTATATAAATCCTGTATAGTAATAAAAAACTATGGCAGGGGGCACAGGCATCTGAAACTCCTGTTGGTGCTAAATGTCAAAACACTAAAGGAGGCTACAGTGATAGAACAGAGGGGAGGTAGGAGACATGGGCCACTGGAGAGGTGGGTGGAACACCTTTTCTATTGCATGGAACTGGTATTTTGATTTTTTTCAGAGACCTTACAGGGTCTTTTAAGGATTAGGTCTAGGTTTTGCATTTATGTGAGTATAGGCACTGTCAATCACAATCAAACACACGTGACCATAAAAACAGACAGTCTTGTACTTGAAGAAAACAATACTATAGTAAGCTGCTATTTCCTAGGCTCTGTCCAAGTCCAAAAAATGTAGATGAATAGCTATCCAGAAGCCTGAACTGCACTTTTTCCATTACCCACCAGATTGTGTCATTTCACAATACTTCAGCCATTAATACCATCCAAAAGTATTTAAAATGAAACATGTATATTTGTGATGGTAAATTTGAAATTCTAATCAGGAAACTGGCAGTTTATTCAAGTGTACAGGTGTTTAAAACTGGCATGTAGAATAAATATGCGTGGAACTCTCCATACTGCAAAATAAGTGGACAATCAGAGCTACTTCATAAAATGCTGAGGGCCTTGTAGACTTCAGTGATGTGGAACAGCTGGAGCTGGCTGCAAATGTAAGAGGAAGGCTGCATGTGGATCCGCTATTGAGAGTATCATGCAGAACTGAATTTCTATGTACAGGGCTTTTTTTGGAGTTTACTCTACGCAGTCATCCTCTGCCAGGAGTTTGTGGGTGTGTATATGTGTATATATGTGTGTATATATATATATATATATATATATATATATATATATATATATATATATAATATTTATATCAGGTACTTATATAGCGCTATCAATTTACTCAGCTCTTTACTTATGCATTGTGTATTCACATCAGTCCCTACACTCAAGGAGCTTACAATCTAAGGTTCCTAACTCACATTCATACATATACATACTAGAGCCAATTTAGACAGGAGCCAACCTACCAGCATGTCCTTGGAGTGTGGGAGGAAACCAGAATACCCAGAGGAAACCCACATAGGCACAAGTAGAACATGCAAACTCCATGCAGGTAGTATATTATAAAGCATAAATGTGGCCAGCTACCCACCTAACTTTAAAAATACTCTGCAGTAAACATTGAAGCCTGTGATTCAGCAGACCAGGAATTCTTTACTTTGTCTATTAAAATTTATGTGATCTAATTGTACTCACACTTAACCATTCATAAAGTAGTGATTCATGTCCCTGATCCACCTTCATTGTGGGAAGCAGGAATAGTTGTATTCTTCTTTTGGGTACACAAAAAGAAAAGCCAAGAGGCTGATGTTCTCCTTAAAGACCTACTAGACTTTGATCAATCTGACAATAGGGCCTCCTGCCAAAATATTTTTTTAATGAAATGGAATAAAATGAATTGTCTGGCAGGGTTTTACTTGTGCCTGTAAACCTTGAGGAGATAAATTAATTGCAGCTCTGTCAGTCTTATATTTCTTGCAGTGGAATGGGACAGGAGGTGTAATTTTTACAATAATAATACAAAAAAAAGAAAAAAAAAAAAAATATATATATATATATATATATATATATATATATACACACACACACACACACACACATACATGCACACTCAAACACACACACAGTATTTGAATATGAATGGAAGCAGCTGCTACAGGGCCCTGAAGTTGCAGCAATAAACAGGAATGCACTTTGTTGGCTTTGCCTTCCAAATTTCATCATCAAGCCCCTTTATGTTAAGGTAGTCCATATATACTGTGCAGCTACTATTATTATAGATACACTAGAGTTGGTAATGACATGCTTGTACCTTTTTTGTCTTTTGACAGAAATTCCCATTTTCCACATCCTGAATGCCCGCATCACCTTCGGAAACCTAAATGGATGTGATGAGCCAGTGTCCTCCCTCCGTCAGAGCCCCAGCAGTGAAGCCCCCTCCCCAAGCAGCGACTCCTGCAGTGTTAGCAGCACCAGCTCTATAAGTATGAAGCCACAACAGGGGGACACGGGACAGAGGGACCCTAACAGTATGTGTCAGACCTCAGCACTGGGGGCACAGGAGGTCCTGCGTAGGGGTGACTATAGAGAGGATTACCATTGGCTGTGCCTCATGTTACCCACAGATTATAAATGGGCAGGTAGCATGATCCACTTTAACATTTCAGATGGCTCCTCCAGGCCTCCACCTTCACTGCTTTGCCTGAACACACATACAGAGTTAGCTGCTTTTGCTATGGTGCTTTTGTGTTGTAAGTTCAATGTCAACAGGACATTTCAGCGAGTGATCTAATGTCCTGTCCACCTGCAATAGATGATGGCCTTATGATTCTGTGTTCTGGTGTGTTTGCAGCTTCTGGACGTGGCTGTGAGATGGACCAGACCTTGTTTGAAGCCCCACGAGGGTACAGTGTGGTAGGGAGTTATCGGGAGAACATGCGTGAGGAGGAGGACGACCTTCTTCAATTTGCAATCCAGCAAAGTTTGCTAGAAGCTGGTAGTGAATATGATCAGGTGAGATGGCATCAGCATCAATGCTAGACAAGTTTACTACTGCTTAATTTAATACTGCCCAGATGCAGCTAAAAGGTCCTGAGAAATAGGTGAGTACAATGGGGAAAATAGATGGAGTAGTAGGAACAATGGATCTAGCTAGCTCTTATCCACAGCTGGAAATAAGTGGAGGGCTAGATCTTTCTGGATGTCAGCATTCAGCCATTCATAGAACAGCAGCAGTTATACATTTACTACAGGAAAAAAAGCATACTAAATAATACAGACATGAATGCAGATGGCCATACTGGCTGGACAGCTTTATTCTGTCAGTCAATCAAGTGATTCTTTTTGCTTTTAAAGAAACTGGCAAGAAGTTTTTAAAATTATTTGTTTGTATGGGTGTGTGACAATAATAAGATCACTATGTATCTGCAGTGTCCATGCAGTCACTGATCAGTTTTATCTTGCTAGAACGAGCTCTTAGCTGTTGAAAAAAGTGTATTCTACAGGACCATTGTCTCCTTACTAGCCCTTCTTTTCATGGAGCATAGAAGCAGAAGACCCTAATAGGTACGTAGTTCAGAGGAGTGGGGGTACCTGAACAATATGGAGATGGTGTGAGGTGTGGCTGGCTGATGTTAAAAGTTGTGGGTGAAGTGTGATACAGTTCATTGAAGAACTGTGCTTTCATGATCTGCCCAAGAAATAGAGATGGTTTCTGGTTTGTAATTACTGGCTTACACAAAATGTGGCTGTGACATGGTAAGTGTGGCCTGTGGGCCTGTGAATAAGTAATTACTCCTAATTTTTTTCAAAATCCCCTGCATCAGATCTCTTTTTATGTGTAGTAGACATTTAAGACTTTAAGAAGTAGACATTTAACCCAGGTATTTAAAGTAAAAGAAAAACTGAAATATATCATTTGAATTGTGAAAGATTTCCCGTTTAGACTTTGTACCGGAGTTCTGTGGATCTTTGTGATTTGTTATTATTAAAAGAAAATCTGTCCTGAGAGAAATATAAGAAATATATAGTCTGTTGTTGACAGCTTCCTTGCAAAACCTTTCCTAACTGTCACGCTCATCTAGGGGTTTCATGAGCTCATTGCTTTGTGAGTCATTGACCCACAATAAAGCTGGCTATACAAGATTAGTTTTTTCATTCATTCATTCAGCCAGGAGGCAGAAAGACAAAAAAAACAAACAACAAATTCCTCCATCTAAACAAACAAGGTAGATGGTGCAATCCCCCACTCTGGGACATTGATGCAGATTAATGGAAAATTTTCCAACACGTGAGTGATCAAATGATCGACTTCTGTTGAGTGGGGATGGCCACACACTGATCAAAATTTGGCAAGTCCCTACTGAGCCAGTCAAATTTCAGTCAGCGTGTGGCCAGCTTAAGTGTGCAGATCTGTCTTGACTTTATTGCATGCTTGTTTTGGAGGAAAAAGATAAATAGCAAGCTACGTATCTCTCCTAGTGCAAGTTTCCATCAAAGTCCATAAAATCCCTAAAAAAAATGTTTAGTGGCAATACCCTGCTGATATAGCCTTAGAACAAAATATGCAACCCTTTCTCTGTTCTGTCTTTATAGGTAACAATTTGGGAAGCTCTGACAAACAGCAAGCCAGGAACTCATCCAATGTCTAATGAGCGGAAAGGAGAGAGGTTTGTAGATTGTAGTAACACAGATGATAAGACTAGCAGGTTTTAAAGTTTATATCCTAAGAGAAGTGTTATTGTATTCAATGACAACTCTCCTTTTTTTTCTCCTGTTTGAGTTTACCAAAATATCATTCATTTTATGTCCAGTGACATGGTTATGTTGACTGTCATCCTTGTAGATACTGATAAAGGAAAATTCCTATCAAATACTTACCGAAATGTTTCTTTTCTAACTCCATGGCAGCACTGAGTGGATAAGTAAATATACCAGTGTGATAACTAGTGCCTACACAAAAACCTAATATAACCCCAGAGGCCAAAATATACTTTCTCCCCCGAAAGTCCAAAATACACAGTCCAAGTCTCCCTCAGTGTCTTAATGTCCTAAACACCCACTAGTGTAATTATCTTCTTGAATAAGAAGATAATTACACTAGTGGGTGTTTAGGACATTAAGATGCTGAGAGAGACTTGGACTGAGCACTGAGTGGATAGTTTCCTCCTCAAAGTACACTTGTAGGACAGAGCTCTCAATGTATTTCACTCAGTACCTTACCACGGTGTTCTATTACTAGCATACCCCTGGCACAGGGGTGGGCCTATATGCTTTCTTCAAGTTACTCAGGAAAGTCAATTTTTGCTAAGTATTAAACAGGAATTTGCCATACTCCTAACCACCGCATGGCAGCATATGAGTGGGAAAACACTAGCCAGAAAGAGGTTGGTGCCATCAACAAAATTAAGATTTAGTACATGACTAAGTCGATGCCAAGACTGAGTGTCTAAAGACCAAGAGGTAGGCTGCTCTGCATACTGTCTCCAGGGATATTACATATGCTGAAGCCCAAGATGTTGACACACTTCTGCCAGTAAGCCCTTGTCCTTTTAAGCCTCTTGAAACACACTTACTATACAGCTCGATATTGTTCTGATAGATTCCTCTCTACCTTTGTTTCCACAAGGAATGATAAATAGTTTCTCCATTTTCCTCACTGAACTGGTTGACTGGATGTACTGGTAAAGGCATGAGGCTACCCGGCCTCAGTGTCTTCATAAGTAGGTAATACTGTTCAAATGGAAAACTGATGTCACCTTAGGGATGAACAACAGATCTAAGAATTACTCGTTTAATGCTGTTAACTTTGCTGTTAAGTTTTGACCAAAGTGATTGCCACTAGAAAGGCAATTTTTAAGGCTAGTAATCATAAAGAGAAAGCCTGTTCTTCTAGAAAGGTGGAAGAAAGGCCATAGTTAGAGGTAGGTCCTATTTTGGGAGCAAGGGTTTCCTTGGTGGCATCAGGAGACATAGCACTATGAAGAACTGGATCACCAGTATTTATCACCCACTGAGTCTAGATAAAGGCAGAGATGGCCAACCTTTGCATTTTCAGAGGTTCTCCAAGCCTTTCTCCTGGGTGAAATAGATTTGCCAGAGGATAGGGCCACAAACTCGTAATGAATACCTGTTAATGCGAAAGGTAGATGCTTCTGAAATTCTGCTGCTGTCAATATGCATGTGTAACATATGTCAGAAATATTAGATTTTTATTTTGTGAAAGCAACAATCTCTAAATCTGAGGCTGTGTGTAAAGAAGTCACCTATATGCAGAATCGATCTGGAAGTTCCTTTGCCCACACAGTGGGTAGGAGATGAGACTCCTTTCAGCAGGTAGCACAGATGTTACTGTATCCTGTACCAGGATAAAGTAAGCATGTCGACAATGTTAACTGAGGTTTTGGCTGAACCCAAATTACTAAATAATATCCTTATGCTGAGTAGTGTCAGACGTTTTCTGAGGTCATTCCAGTGAGGGACACAGAGGACCTCATAGCTGCAGGTCTCATTAGAAGAAGAGTAAAAGGTGATTATAACTACTGAGACTGATAGTTCAGTGTGTACTGTGTGCAACTTTCTAGACACTGGGACTGCTGTGACTTTTAGTTCAGTATTTTCTGTGCTGCTTTCCAGACACTAGAACTACTCTTTTTTCCCCACTTTGTAGACCCTTTTCGGTGGGAGCCACTTGCTGCCAGAAGCTGTGGGGTCCAAGATTGGTGTGTGCCCAGAGTTTTTCCATGGATTGCCCTGCCCACCCTCCCTGCTGTGTGACCAGACTCCTCCATACATTGTCCTGCCTGTCCCCCTGCTGTGTGCCCAGACTCCTCCATGGATTTTCCTGCATGCCCTCTCTGCTGTGTGCCCAGAGTCATCCACGGATTGCCCTACCTGCCCTCTCTGCTGTGTGCCCAGAGTCCTCCAAGGCATTCCCTGCCTACCCTTTCTGCTGTGTGCCCAGAGTCCTCAAATGAGTGCCCTGCCTGGACCCCCTAATGCCAAGAAAGCCACACTCAGTACCCAGGAGACAGTCAGACTTCCACATGAGCCTTTGAACCCTTCCGCCCCCTATTTCTCCTTCTTGTTCCATATTGTTACCCTGTGGTCCTTCCTGTACCATGTTGCTACCCTGTAGACTATTCCTTCTTGCTGTGGCCTATTGTCACCTAGATAACTATCTCTCCTTGCTTTGCCCTATTGCCGCCCTCTCCTGTATACCCAAGTTCCCCAAATGCCTGCACGTCACATTCTGTGAGATTTGCCTCCGTGTGCTCTTTCTCTTCTCTCCTACTTCATCACATCAAGTATGCATCTTCTAGGTCTACTGACAACAGCTGGTTTCAAGGCATCACCGCTTGGGTTATTGTCTGCAGCAATTCCATTTTGGAATGCTCATTGACAGTGTATCGATTGATCCGTTAGAAATTGCAGACCAGACTTTATTCACTTTTTTTTCTTCACTATAAACAGAGGAGAATGCCCACAGTTGAATTTTTTAAGTCGGGAATCCTAATAATAGCTTTTTGGACTACCAGATTGTTGCTGTGTTGCAACAGGACTTTTCATTTTTATGGCACAATGAAATTGATGTAGCCAAGAAATGGTTCCACATTACCATGCATATCTTTGAGAAACTGTCTGAACCACCCATGGTTCTAAAAAATGTTTCTGCCAGATTTGGCTTCTCCAGTCCTCTCTGCACATGGCCATCTGGTTTGGAATTTCTGCTGTATCGCAAGTCTTCACACTTGTGTTATCATGGAAGACGAACCACAATAGCTTTACTAATTGCCTTCTTCAATGTGTTGCTAAACAAAGAGGACCCCTGAAACTCGATCTAATACTAGTCCTGTTTAAAGGGGGCCAAAGGACCTTTTAGCTGTTGCTGAGCAGGGCAAAATTCTGGCACAAGCATGCACTACAGTACATCCATTGCACATCCCCCAACAAAGTGAGAGATAGGTTTTATGTCCTGCAGAACAGCTGCTGTTTGTTTCTTAAGGGTGTCTGACAGAGCAGATGACTCTAAGTTGTTGGTCCACACCTCCAGAGCATAAGCTACAAACGTCAGAGTGACCGTACTTTCAGTAAGTTAGCTCCTTTAAAAGTCTAAATCTATCCTGCTTTTAAGGATTACTTTAAGGTTCCATGCACACTGGGCGTTTTAATAACGCTGGTAACGTTAACTGTGTAAAGTCATGTTAAAAACGTGCGTTTTTTTTAGCATTTTTGCATTAGCGTTTTGCCACGCTTTTCTGCGTTTGCGGTTGGCCACGTTTTTACGGGTTTTTTTGCTAAAGAAAACATCCAAAATGCCAGTTTGTCGCGTTTTACCACATTTTTCAGCATTAGAGTGTTTTTACAGCTAAAGAACGCCACTAGTTCTGGGGTTTTTTTCCAGCCAAAAAACGCCATTGCCAAAAAACGCTGTGTGCATGGACACATAGGAAAACATGCTGGGGAGTTTACTAGCTGTAGAAAAAAATGTCAAAAGCCAAAAACAGCAGCTGTAAAAACGTCCAGTGTGCATGAGGACTAAAAGAGACTGGGTCCTCTAATGGTGTGAAGTGCCTGGCAAGTGTCATCAAGGCTACATCCTCCTAATATTTTGTATTCATCTTCTTTTAGTAGGTGCAGGTTATGTAACCTGTCCTGCATGGAAGACTTATATTCTACATTTTTTCATTTGTCTAGAATATCTTCCATAAATGAGAAGGATTCAGACTTATGCTTCAAGTGTTTATAATACCTTTTTCCCACCCATGGGGTCTTGACTGGCCCCTCCTGTTTAAGGGCATGCTTATAAGTCTTGACATAGGGTTGAACCAGGGCAAAAAGTAATCTGCGTTTCTATTAAAATGTTGGGAATCATCTGAAGAATTAGTAGACTCATAACTGGGAGACCTATTAGCTGGTGGGAAACACACTATTCATTCAGCGGTTGAGAGCCTCACAAGGTCATGCAGGGACTCCCTTATTAACAGCCTTATTGACTAAGGAGACTACTTGTTGGTTCTGATACTTTCTCTTTTACTGCCCCCATAAAACATGTTTCACAAAAGGACTTCCCTGGTATAGCTATATTAGGACAGGCCCAATGGGCATTGCCTCTATAGTGCACTTTCACTGTGTAGAAGGAAGAGTTTTATTGCTGGGTATCCAAGGAGGACCTTTGATGGGTAAATATCTGTCTTAGTGAAGGCTGGTCTTTGCAATAATCTGGTTTTGGATTTGGAATCTCTGTCTGGAACCAATGCAAAGAAAAATAATTAAACTTTCTGCTCCAGTAACAATAGTTTACATATCAACACCTACCTATATTACCCCCTATCCATTGCATACTGGCTGTTTTTTTGGGGTGGGTGAAAGGGATCATATATGAGGAACTGTTATTTTACATAGATTTGCCAATCAAGATAACAAAAAGAGAGAGACCTGTTCTCCCACCTGGTGCAACAGCAGATCAAGGGAGAGCAGCCCTCACATCTTAAGGGAGGTGGCCCAGTTAAGTAGGGCACCAGCCATTCTTTATGAACTAGTAGAGCCATGGAGACCACCCGTACTACACTAGTATGGCTGCCAGAAGCTTGCACTTGCATAACTTGAGGCGACAATAAAATAGCCACTGAACACCAGGAAGCAGACACAAGAACTCCAGGAATCCTCATATCGTCCTCCATAAATACATGATCTACTGGATTGCACACCAGTATTCTAAAAGACACCAGCAGATTCTCCAGTGTTAGGAATACCAAACTGGGTAGGGATCTTGCACCCTTAAGGATACTGTGCGCCGTCGGCACTGTCTAACACCCCAGAAAACTTGTGGAAGGAGTTTCCTGATAGGGCAAGTTTAGATGCAATTTTAGATACACAGGAACTCACCAGGCAGAAGTCTTAAGCCTTGTACATATGATCAGAAAATCGTTTGAAAAATAACGCTTTTAAAGCAATTGTACGATAATCTGATCATTAGTACACAGCTTTCAACAGCTGATCATGACAGTTAATCCAAAATGTTAAACTTTTTCTGGTGTGATACCAGATCGTACAATTTTTGTTTAATCAGTACAATTTTTGTCCAAAAATACAATACAATACATTACGTCACTTCTGACGTTCTATTCTGTCATGTGAGAATTTTTGTAAGTTGAGTAACCTTTTCATTTTCGATATGGAGACTAGCATGCAGAAAAAAACGGATGATAATTTGTCCGATATTCCTATTGTATGTACGAGGCTTTAGCCTTATGGTCTGCTGTAGTTTTACCACAGTTTGGCAGGGGGATGTTACGGAGAGCTCTATATGGAGGTCAATAAATGAACACTGTGGTAAGGACTGGGTGGGATTTATTACAAGTTCAATCATAGGTGGGTATTCTGGGAGAGGAGATTACTCCCTCATATGCTGCACTGTAGTGGTCAGGAAACATGGTTTATGCTCCCAGCTATACTTTCTGTTGAAGAAGGTCAGATCATCCCTCAGCACCACTTATTGCATGCTGCAAGTAATAGAAAATTGTCTTCAGCAACGTGCTAAACAAAGAAGTTATTTTTTTGTCACAGCTTGCTTCTGCTACATTAGGCAGTACAACAGCCAATAACAGCACATCCAGAGCGGGCCACAATCACTATTGTGTCATTTATTGAGATGCTTTACATGACACCCAGCAAAATAGAAACGCCTTTGTGCACTCTGGGGTCAAAGTTTATTGGGTTCAATGAACCCTTGAAGCAGCAAATAGGGGGCTTTGGCTATGCTGAGCACAGGCTACAGTAGGCAGCCTCATAAACACCCACCTACTTGGGGGTTATCAATCCAATAATGTGTCACTGTAACTCACTTCTAGTTCATCGGCTTGGATACAGCCTAAAAATATATGAATGACAACAAGCTTAATTTCAGATGTTTCCATGTAATACTATCAGTGAACAAATTGCAACATTACAGCTCTTATGAGTGTCTTTTTTTTTTTGAGTCACTGGAGACATCAAGTTTTAGTTTCTTGATTTATTTTTATATTAGTGTTTTTTCACATCAACACCTCATACTTTTCATTGGGTTTTGAAAAAAAGAGCTTTTCCTTCCTTTCATATGATGTTTCCATTTCACCATGAGGCATTTTTAATCTCTATCATCCCCTCATTGGCAGAGGGTGAGTAATTTTTGTGTTCCTGGGCTTTTCCTGCAGAACCCCCCAGCATACCCAGCCTTGCAGCCCCCCCCACACTCCATCTCCAGCAATGCATTCAGCACTTATCAGGAGCAGCTACGAATAGCCATGGAACTCTCAGCCAAGGAGCTGGAGGAAGAAGAGAAGCTCAAGCAACAGGAGGAAGAAGAGCTAGAAAGGATTCTACAGCTCTCCTTAACTGACAAATAGCAGGACCTCTAATCTAGCAGACAAGCACCCAGAAGGCCTATCCAAATTGGTTAAGGGCTCACTTGGGAAGCCACAGACACATGACTGAGAAAAACTCATCAAGAAGGGAAATGGGTGCAGATGGAGCTTCCTGTTACATTCAATGCATTGCAACATGAGCCAGCAATGGTGGTCATACACCTCTGCAGACTTTTCTAGTCAAATTTCTTGATATCCAAGTTTAGGAAGTGTCACATTAACTAAAAGGATTTAATAAAAATACAGTCACTGGGTACTAGCTCAGGTGTGGACATGCTCTCACATCCACAGAGGGAATTGTATCCTGTTTGTTGCTAGAAGCAGATTTCTTACTGATATATTTATTAAATGGATGCTTCAACTGCAAACTGGTTAAAAATGACAATACGGTACCTCCTTAAATTTTTAGTCACCAGAAAGAAATTTGCTGTAACAGTGATCTCCATAAGGAGTTATAGTCGGATGTAAAGAAATCAGAATTCTTTTTTGGGTTATGTGCGCAATATATGTTAATTCTTTAAGTATCAGGGTCAGGTCTATGTGATAACAAATTATGATAGAGTATATTTAATGTGTCTGAGTCTTTTAAAGAGAAGCTAGAGAGGGAAATGCTTTTTGTGCCCTCTTTAATCCCCCACTAAGGATGTCATAAGTGGTAAATCATGTATAAGTACCACAATTTCCACAAATAAATTGCAGACTAGGGGTTCCTTTAATATGAAACTGAAATTCATTGTTTGATGTAAATTAAAAGGATAATAAAGAAGATGTGCCCATTGACCCTTGAGTTAATAAATATCTTTTATTCAAAAGAATCATTTTGTGACTATAAGAAATGTTCATAGTTGGGTTGAGTTCAGCCCTCTACAAAGGAAAAAACAAAAACACCTTGTATTCTGAAAAAAGAAGGCTGTTTAGGGCAAAGTGACAGAGTCATTGCAAAAGTGTCTCTTGACACACCGATATTCACCTTGTCAGCACTCCCCCACAGTTCCATCAATATCCAATCTCTAAGCCCAAGCTCTGTCACCACTTCATCTATCACCAGCTGACACTAGGAAATTTAATGCCAACTGCCACAGAGGAAGAACCGGGGGGGGGGGGGGGTGTGTTGAGGAAGCACTGGCAAGGTATTAGTGGGAGTACAAAAACTTTGTAAAGGTATTTTCACATTTCAGGCAATACAAAGAGTGCCCACTGGGAAAACAGCACTTTCCTAATTCCCAGAGGTAATCAGTTAACTCTCTATGTGTTTATATACTATACGAGATGGTATCAAAAAGGTTCAAAACAGGTTTTTTAACACGCCAACAAATGGTGGCACCAGGCTACACGCACAGTCACAGGGAATGCCAACCAAGTCAGTGTGCCAAAAGACATCATCCTGTGTACATCGGGAGCAGTGCGACTGGTGCTATTCTGACCACATTCGATTGCACATCTGCTATTTCATCATGGACAGCAAGTTAAAATAAAGAGCAAACGTGAAATTCTGCGTGAAACTGGGCAAATCTGCCACAGAAACGTTTGACATGATTCTGCAAGTTTATGGCGATGCTGCAATGAGTTGTTTGAAGTGTTTTGAGTGACACACGCACTTCAAGAGCGGAAGAACAGCTCTGGAAGATGACGAGAGATCAGGAAGACCTTCAATGAGCTCAATCCCCCCCAAAAATGTTGCAACCGTTTGGCAACTTGTGCACGATGATCATCAGAAAAACAATTAAACACCATTGCTGCCATTGTCAGTGTGTCAGACAGAACAGTCCAGACAATCCTCACGTGTGATTTGAACATGTGCCGTGTTGATGCCAAGTTTGTCTCCAGGCTGCTGACCCAGGAGCAGAAGGAACACTGCGCCGAAGTCTACCAAGAACTCAGTCAGCGTGCCGTGGATGACCCATCCTTAATGTCGAGGATCATTACTGGGGACAAAACTTGAGTGTACAGGTTTCATGCAGAATTTCACTTTTGCTCTTTGCTCTAACTTGCTGTACATGATGAAATAGCAGACGTGGTAACGCATGTGGTCAGAATAGCACCAGTTGCACAGCTCTCAATGTACACAGGATGATGTCTTTTGGCACACTGACTTATGAAGCTCTGTGCTCCCTGGGATTGTGCATGCAGCATTGTGCTGACATCTATTGGTGTGTTAAAAAACTAATCTCAAAACTTTTTGGGACCACCTTGTGTGTGTGTATATGTATATATATATATATATATATATATATATATATATATATATATATATATATATATATACAGTATATACACACACACAATTATCGTTAGCCATTCTTTGTATTTGGTGATGACTTTGGAGTGAATTTGCAATATCTTTCTATAAAAAGTGAGCACGCACGGGGCCAGCACTATCAACCTCATATTTATTGAAATACAGCCTGAGTGCGCTAATGTACTCTAATACAAGAAAGGATTGAAGCACTGAAAGGTCCTATCAAGAAAAGAAGCCTTGAGAGGCTTTTATTATTTGGAACCTACTGTATGTCTTCTCAGGAACATGGTAAGATTGGTTGCACGCCACCAAAATGCGGGTTGCAAATAATAAAAGAATTTCCACCTCTATCCTTATCAGGATCCCTGACTGTGATTTCTTAATAAATAATTATTTATACAGTATAGGTTTGTCTGTATATTCCTCTTATATGCTTTGCTTCATTAAAAAGCTGAAGGAAAGGAAAGTGTTTTGTTCACGATAACTGTACGATAACAATGGACAGTTTTCTAGTGTTGTTTAGTAAATGAAAAAAAAAAAAAACAGTTCCTGCTCACCCACAGTACATTTACTGCAGCCAAGCAGCATGGGCAGGCCAGATAACGTACATGTATGTCATCCAGTCTGTTCTGGGTTTGGGGCGCGCATGCACATGCTTATTGCTAACCCTCGCTGTCATTGGCTACAGCTGGATTTTGTCAGCAGGTCCCGGTTAATGATTTATGGTTGAGGCACGCTGATTGGCTGCAGCCAAACACACAGAGCTCTGTACACAGATCAGCAGTCTGTTTCTTCTCCCTGCAAAGCAGGGAGAAAAAAAACAGATCTGTAAGTAAAAGCAACACACATTACACTTGTTAGGCACACAGTTAACCCTTTGATTGCCCCTTGATGTTAGCCCCTTCCCAGTCAGTGTCATTACGACAATGACAGAATAGAGTAATATACTGTATCTGATCTGTATTATTTTCACTATTGATGGCAGTGTCAGTTAGTACCTCCCAACAAGGGTCTGTTAATGCCAGATTGCCCTCCACACTATATCACAGTACCAATATAAGTCATTGATAACCAGTATAGAATAATAGCTGTATAAATTCCAGTATATATATACCATGGTTTGTAACTTTCACACAGACCAACTAATACACACTTATTAGTATTTTAATTTACCAAAGACATGTAGCAGAATACATTTTGGCATAAATCTATGAAGATTTTTTTTTTTTCCCGGATATACAGTGTTACCTCGGTTTTATTAATTTAATGCATTCTACAGGACGTTTCGTATTGCGAAAAATGTATAAACCGAAATGCGATTCCCATAGGAATGCCTTGAAAACCAATTAATCTGTTCCTGAGGTCAGAAAAAAGTTAAACAAAAGTCTTTTATCTGTTCAAAACTCTTTAGAAAGTGCACTTTAAAGGCATAAGTACTGTACAGGGACATGATTAATTTCCAGAATGGCTCCAAAACGTGATGCAAAAACCGCTCCAACACCTCCACACTCGATGCCACGTGCTACCCACAGACATCAGCACGCACAGGGCCAGCACTATCAATCTCCCAGGTGCAATGCATCCTGGGGAAACTTGCTTCATATTGCAAAAAAAAAAATCATAAACCAAGGCAATATTTTCAATGGATTTTCATTAGTAAACCGAAAATTATGTTAACCGAGGCGTTATAAAATACAGTGGTACCTCAGTTTGCGAACGGAAAATATTGTTTATTTTGTTTTCAAAATTAGCAGTCTTTTTTCGTTTATATAATAAAAAAATTAAAACCCAGTGACAATCAAATATCACCAAAAGAAAACTCTATTTGTGTGAAAAAAATGATGTAAATTGAATTTAGGTACAGTGGTGCATGAGCAAGAAATTGCCAGTTAATGTAGTGCAGTGATGAATAGCAAAAAAATGCCCTGGTCATGAAGGTAGGAAAACCTTTGGGAGGTCAGTTGGTTAAAATGAACAGTTGCTGAGATCAATAAATATATCTGATATCGGCTAACCTAAATTGTGTTCATGACTCCCTATTTTGACCCTGAAGACACACTAACTACATCAGTGATGGAAGAGAAGTAGAAATACTTATTTTGAAGGAACTGTCGCTTTGATCTCCTTTCAGTGCTAGGCACATGGCCACAACCTAAGGCACTGATCACACTCTGTCAGCACTGCTTATGCATAGCAAATTAATGCTTATACTACCTGCTATGCATTTTTCTGTTTCATTTTTTTTTCCTGTAGAAAACTTTGAGTGCTATATTTGGCCATTAAAGCGAACTTCTCCATGATTCCCCTTTTTATAATGAATGCTACTGACACCTCTTTACAGCCTTGCTGCGCTGACCCTCACCTTCTACACACAAACTGGCAAGTGATTACATTGGGCATGCTCCAACCACCTGTGAGCAATGCCACAACATAATAATCTAATGCCTGTTTACAGCAATTTAGAAAAAACGTATGACGATTGTCAAAGTGTCTAACGCTTTTACAAGCATTTATGTGCGTTTACAGGTGTCAAGCACGTGGCCTTAATTCATTTCAATGGCTAAAATAAATGATTATTCTGGCAAATGAAATGAATTAATGCCTAGCGTTCAGACGCGTTTAGGCACCTTTAGACGCGCTTACACATGTCAAGCATTTTTTTCTGCCAAAACGCTACTGCTCCTGGACACACTGACTCTGGATTTTTTTTTTCTGCTGGTAAACACTACTGCTACTAAAAGCT